CGTAAACTACGCCAGAGCGCGTACACACCTCACGCACCGGATGCCGTGCGCGCGCCCAAAGCAGTTGGACATAGTGGTGTATTAGAGGTCAAGTATGATATAAATACTGTTGGGTTTCTGGCACAAACCGATCGTATCGTGTCTTAGGACATCAATGTGTCGTCACGAGCCGCAGGGTTTAATTTGGATTTGTCTATGCATGTTTTTTTTACTCTCATAGATTTTGTTACCATTGCCATGCATTATACGACTGACAGACTGCAACGGCTGGAGTTAAAAATCATCAAATGTGTTCTACTGAAGAAACAAAGTCACCTGCATCTTGGATGTGCCCTGCGGGTCAGCAGATAAACATCACATTTTCATTTTTGGGTGAACTATCCCTTTAAGATTTAGTTCTACAAAAATATATATATATATGTATGTATGTATGTATGAATTTTTTTATTTTTTTTTATTTTTAATTTAATTATTTTGTTATTTCTTCAGATGAAGTTGAGGCCTGGAGGAACAAATATCGCACCTTTCAAGGTCCTTACAGCGCTGAGAAGATCACTGAAGTTATGGAGGTCGCTGGAAAAAACATCTCAAACAACAGAGAGAAACTGAAGGAGCAGATTGCTGCGGTCGTTGGGAAAAAAGCACACAACTAATGAGAATCTGAAGAGCGCACAATGTTCTGAAATGAAGAGGCAAAGTCATTACTGTTTGTTTGAATGTTTTTCTCTTTTTACGTAAAGTTCTGTTCCAGTTACACTTAATGCTCAGCTGATTTTTTCAGGTTAAATAACTGATGGTAAGCTGTTCTTTAGTCAACTCATTTTCAGACCATCAGTTACAGAGATCACCAAACTGAGAAGAAGAAAAGAAGCTCATTGATTGTTTTCAAGTCATTTCCAGTCTGAATGTGACCTGACATAAAATGGTGATATCTAAGTGAGTTGTTGACTTTTTATTTGTCTTCCCATTGACACCATTTGTTCATTCAGATGGATTTGCACATGCAGAACGTAAATGGAATTGAGAGGCGGGGTTTAACAGTGTAACCGGCCAATCACAGCCCAGCACAACGGAGGCACTCTTCTATTTAATGTTTTTGCACATTTCAGTCTGTTCCTTCAGACAGCTTCACGTTCATTAAGCAATAAATAGATAATCATTAATAATCAAATCAACCGTAACACAGATGTGATTACAATTACTAATTAAAATACTGTATTACTTTGCCTCTGTTCCAATGAATTAATAAACTGTTCTATAAAAATACGGTTTTGTCCTGGCCATTTAATTTTTAAACGGCACAAAAGCTCACTGTTAATCAAAGTGATAGCTGTTATCCTGGATGCTGATTGGACAATCCAGAGCTTTTATAATTATGTGTATGACTAGAACCATACCTTTTTTGGAAAATTTATCAGATCTGAGAACTTCTATTTTAAGTCAGGTTTTAAACACTACACCACCCTGCCATTGGTTAAACAAACGAGGAGCCTCGCCCCAAACTCACCCCATTGGCTGAATCATGTCCCAGGCAATGCAAATGCAACCATGATGAATAAACCTGCTCTAATCTGTTCACAGTCTGCAATACCAGCGACTTCCCTGTTTGCAGACCATCCAAACTTTTAATGTCTCTGTTTCCATGTTCTCAGCGTTCTTCTATCACTCCCTTTACTGGATAACTCTCTTTGTGATCTTTTATATTGACCCAATAATTCATTCTTGGTTTATATCTACGAAGGTATAAAGGAGCTTCTCTCCTTCTACCTGCAATGGGAGATGTTCTGAAAGCACCAAAACACATTCTTATTAGAGCTTGATTCTGAATTGCTTCAATCTTTTCAAATTTGGTTTCAGATGCAAATCCATATATTATACTAATCCACACTTGATCTAATTAATGTACAGTATATTCAGGCTACACCCCTGATAAGCATCGTAAGATGTTTACTCCTGTTTTACATTTTCCTTTTACTAAAACATATGACTTGAGCTTTAGCCACTGATAATCTAAAGCTCCAATAATTTGCCCATGTCTCTACTTAATCCACTGCTTTTTTCCCCCAACTTTTTCGATGGGCTACACATGCAATATTAAGTCTGCTTTTCCATATTGCCCCATCATCTGCAAATAATGCCCTTCCTATGTCGCATTATTTAAAAATCATAATATTGAATAACACTGTGCTGACTAACACACTTTCTTGAGGAATTACATTATCTATCTTGTATATCTTTGAATACTCTACTTGTATTGTTCTTTCAAGCAGAAAATCCATTAATCCAGTCGTACAGCTTCCCTCCTATTCACATACAATTAAGTTAAATTAAAAGCCCCTCTTTCCAAAGCATGTCTTATGCTTTCTCAATATCAAATAAAACCCCTATCAGTACTTCTTTATTTGCTTGTGCTTTCCTGCATTGACTTAAAACAGCATCCATAGTATTCCATCCCAGCCAAAACAAGAAGAACATTCTACTTCACTGTGTTCAATAAAAATAGCCTTTGTGTTTAAAGTAGCACATAAATATTATTATAAATCTTTAACTCATTCTATTTAATAATTTACAAATCCAAAAACTGAGTTAATAAACAGTCCATGAGTCTTGTGTGAGAGTTCCAATGAAATTGATTTAATTGCACCATGTGATATAATAATTGAAATGTTTTTCTTTGGAAAAGAAACTGACCCAGACCTCTTACATAAACATGTCCTGAGTGACAGCAGTGTCACACTCTGTGTTAGTTTAGTAACTGTGAAGAATACTTTGATTAATTTGTACTTAAGTACAAGTTACAGACTTAAAAATATACTCATGAAAGTACAAGTGCTGAAAAAACGACTTAATTACAGTAACGTGAGTAGTCGTAATTCATTACCTCCACCACTGCTGTTTTGGTAGGCTTCATTAACGTCACATTTTTCAGTCGAAGTGTTTAGTACGTCCATAAGAAAAAGCTTTGCCACCCCTGTGCATAAAACGCAAATGTGTGTATAAATGTAAACATTTCCATGACTGTGATGGCATAAAAGTACTGTGTAATGCGAAATAAAGGTTGCAGACATCGCAATCATGTTATGTGACTAGTGTAGTCCAATCAGGAAGAATGTATGGTTCTTTTTAGTGAGTCTATGTAGACTATTCATGAACAAATGATGAATCCAGCAAGTCAAAAACACACAGCACCGCCTGTGTAGCTGATTCACGAACACATGACTCTTATTCAATTCAATTCAAGTTTATTTGTACAGCGCTTTTCATGATACAAATCATTGCGAAGCAACTTTACAGCAAATTAAGATTCTACAATATTTAGTGGTAGCTTGTGAACTTCAAAAACACAGAATAGGATGTCTGGTATTTGAAACATTTATGATATTTGACAATACTCTAAACATTTATGGATTAAAATGTATGTAGTGGCAAAATTTAAAACTAATATTGTATGGGTTTTTTGATCCATTTCACAAATGTATAGCTTGATGAAAATTAAACAATAAAAACATTGTTCACAAGCGAGATTCACCTTTAATGTTTCTGTTTTCTTCACACATCACATTTTATGTATCTCTCTGAAGTCTCTTTGGCAAACAAGTACACTAATTCTTACTCTTTGTTGTTTTTGGCAAATGCTTTTATCCAAAGCAACTTGCATTGCAGTCAAGGTTCACATTTGATCTCTTAAAAACAAAGTTGAAATCTGTTAGTTACGCCATAAATGACGATGCATGCAATCTTTCATTTTACGTATGCACACCTACTTCCTCATGCAATACCATGTTGCAGCATGTTCTGCTGGTAATGAGCATGAAGGATTTCCCCTGTTCTCATCAAAAAAGACAACAGAACATCCTGTTTTCTGCCACACAAGCTAGGTGAGGTGTATGAGGAGAGGCTACATCATTAATATACAAGGAAATATCACACTTTTCCTGGTCTTAGTGAATGATTGAGTCATTCATCATTCACAACCCCACCCTCAGGATGATGTCTAGACTTGCAGTGTAGTTTCAGAGCGCTATATAAGAGCATCTTCTGGCTGAATGTCAGATAAGGACTGCTGTGTTGTTTTTTGTGTGTGGTATTGAAGACTCACGATTTACAGAAATAGTAAGTATGTTTTAAAGCCTTATATAAATAATGTCAGGGCAATTTAAATGTTTCATGTCATTATAAATTGCATGCGACAACCTTATTAGTGATCCGCACACTACCAAACGTGCATAAAAATATACAGTGATGGTGAAAAATGATTTATGACATATTTCAGTGTGACAAAGTTTTGCATTTTTTATGCATCACAATGTTTACAACGTTATTGAAATATACTATAAATAATTGTATGATTGAAACATATACTGATGTTTTGATCCAATAGCAATCTGACTCTTAAAAACGATAAAGATGCAAGATTGCATGATGTCTGAAGTAATCAGCTGTATTTTGGCCATCTAATATTGTATTTAAAAATAAATTAAATAATTGTAAAAAATATTTCAGATCATGCTTTTCACATTATTTAAATGTTTAATTATTCAAAAGTGTTTTCATTTTAAGCTGGAACACATAGTTTCTACTTTATTTACGATTCCCTATTAGACAATATTTGTATTTACTTTGACGCATGCATACTATTAATGTTTTTCACATTTATTCTGTTGTTTCTTTGGTTTATCATAATTCTCTAAAAACAGCCTATCAGAGTTTACTGACTTGCTGTATCCTCAAAAATATTCATTTTAAATGATAGAAATGTACTTGACTCTTGTTTTACAGATGAGTGCATCTAAACCCAAGGAAAGGTACGTAATCCTGCCCAGATTTCTACAACAAATTGCTATATTCTGAGAATAAACTTCAGATTTAATTGCATTGAAATCTAGAATATTGGACATCTAAATATATCAAATAAGTCATGTTCAGGTCAGCACTGATCTGTCTGTCTGTCTCAGCGGTAAGAGGAGAATCAAACCCTTTCTGAATAGGAGCGAGCAGGAGTTTGTAGCCAGCAGGAGAGACACTGTTCTACAAACCCTGAAGAAGCTTAAGATTCAATGCAGTCGGGTAAAACATCATATGTTATACTTCATATTTCCAAATGCTTATTTTGAATGATGTGTTGGGTGATGAACATCAGCAGTCAAGCATAAATGTCACTCTCTTCATTGTGAAAAAAATGAAGAGAGTGCTGCCATTCCTAGGTAGCAAGCATTTTGATGTGTTCTTACAATGCTTTGCCATTTCAAAAAGCTCAGCACAATCAAAATGATAACTTTGGTAGCATTACATTCTGTTGTTTTATCTAAAAATCTGCATAAATAACTTTCACACTTTTTACAATAAACATTTGTAAAGGAAAAGTGTGCTTCCAGGAGCAAGACTGAACACGCCTGAGTTTTTTAAAATAATTACGTTAGTCACGGGATTTAACTGTGGGATGGGAACAGACGTTTGTAAACTACTCAGTTCATTTTCCATTAAACGACTAAGCAAGTCGCAAGAGTTCCAAGTTGGAATTTTTTGATACTTCTGATACTTTGAATGGTGTGTGCATTTCAGAAAGAGGTGCCAAACATTGCATTA